AAGTTTTGAATTTTGTGTTTCTCTGTCAAATATTTCAAATTAGTTACCATGATATCTGACTTGTGTTTTGACCTCGTGCTTTGGTTTTAGTATTTTATAGACGAACGTCACACGTCAACGTCAATATGTCGACAGTGTTAATCATACTTAACATAAGCCTCTTTCTGAGATTTGATTGGCCAGAGCCGTACAGGGAACAGATAAAAATTCCGCGAGAAAGAACGAACTTATGAAACCAGGCTAAGGTAGCTGTGTTTGCACTACCTTGTGTTACACGCTGCAAAATGAAGTATTTTATGATCTATCTTCCTATTTTACAACTGATTTTACTTCCCATTGCGTTGGGCAATGGTCAAAAATCTCAAGATCATTGTTACCAATGGCTCACGAACTCCGCTGAAAGACCCTCTACATTTATAAGTAAATCCAAAAGTAAGTTCAGCTCAATTAAAGTTACAAATAGATTATAGGAACACCTCAATAGCGCAGCGCACTGATTCTAAAAATAGCTTAAAGATTCGGACAAACATTGCATTCTGTTTAACCGCTACGAGGATTATACGAACCGATTTTATTATTTTTACTTAAAGTTACAATAATAACCCATGTAACTAAGATCAACTGTGATCGGCTGTGAAAATTATCTGCTAAAATTAAACTCGTAAGTTTGTTTGTACGAATTTCGCCTTCGTCATCGTTTTTATGACGTGGAAAACTAGTGAAAACTAGTGTAAACTGCGTCGGTGTTTTCAGTAAAACAGTTGATAGATAGATAATTTATAACACCGAATGGTATGTAAAAATGAAACTGACGTTTCGGACGTTAGTCCTTCATCGGAGACTCCGATGAAGGACTAACGTCCGAAACGTCAGTTTCATTTTCATACCATACGGTGTTAYAAATTATCTATCTATCAACTGTTTTACTGAAAACCCCGACGCAGCTGCGCTATTGAGCGAATAGTCTCCCAGCAGCTGTTCTTAGTGTCTAACGTCTGCTCAATCGAGCACTACATTCCATTCCCATTGTTCTGTCGAAAAATCGTTTAACCAATAGAATTAGAGCTATTGTTCTGCAGTGACCAATCACAATCACAAAGGGTTTTTCCCGGGAAAAATACTATACATGAAAATATACTAGTGTTCGTATGGATACTCCCCGAAATATAATAAATGTTGATAAATGTTGTTTTTTTATGCTCAAATAATCCGCCGATTAAGGAAATAATTAATTTTTTGTGGGGAAGTCGTCCGTTGATATTGAGGGTTTGCTCTAATCAATCGAAATAGAAGTATCGACATATTTTAACGCTTCGAGTTTATTTATTTACGTAGTAAAACTTGTTACAAGCGATTACTGAAGCTTCAAAATGAGTTAAAAAGCGTCAAGCAAACCTTGATAGAGGCATTCCCAAGAAGAACACGAACTAAGAGACTGCGATCTCATCCTGAAGATCGATCGATGCCTGCAGTTCCAACGAGTGAAAAGTCCCACAATCACCTGTGAAATCGCTCGTGAAATCGCTTCGCTTTAGTGAATGTTGTAGTACTGCAGATATTTCAAGCCGATGAAGGCTACTCACTTGATCCTTCATTAGACTGATCAGTGGTGAAACAACCACGACTACATGACCAGAAGTATCAGTGTACATGCTACATGCTATCGAAAAGCAAAGGCAGAGCAAGATATATCATCGATTTTCCACTTCCAGTCGGAAGAATTATGAAGATGTCCCTTCTTTTTAGCACGAATTGGACCAAGGGTTCGCGTTTATAAGTATTTAAATGCGTTAAATTATGTTTGTTTTGCACTGCTTCGTCGAATGACGCCATTTTGTTTACCAAACTCACGAGAAATTTTAGCCAATCAGGATCCAGCTCCCAGATTATAGTAGGTTAACTGTGATAAATTTGAATCCGAATTTGTTATTCATTCGGTTAGGCCTGCCGTCCACACTAGTCCGGGCGAATCCGGAACAATTCTTCACCGAAAACGATTTTTTTCGAATACGGTCTCCAGAGTGGAACAATTTGAAAACTGCGGCTAGCCGTTGGTGTGAACGGAGAACATTTCGTACCCGGAAATTTTCGAATACGATGACGTCATGATTGTCATGGAAACATGGCGGGAAGGCTAAAAATCAGCGCGGGCTCAATTTCAGCTTCGATGCACATGCTCAGATGTGAATGAAGCTTTTTTGCCGCCTCTGATCGGACTAGTGTTGACGCGAAACATTTTATCCGTTTTCATGTGCTATAAATTATGAGAAATTTGAAACATAGTAGAGGTTGCATGTACTAGAATAAGTAAAGCGTAAAGAGTCAATATAAAGCGCCTTTGATTATATATTCATATAGAAAAGGCGCTATATGAATTCATAAATCATTATCAATTGATGGTTTTCAACCATTCCCAAGAGAATTAAATAATAAAAGACATCGTTCTATGAATATCTAGCTAGGGGATTCCCCTTTGCGACATTACGTATGAGTCACGCCATTGTTAGCGTGGTGTAAGTCTGTAAGTCGTAAGAAGTCCTAATTTTTGTAAAATATTTAAAGCCAATCCAAATCATGTATCAAAAATAGTTGAGTTTTGAAAGTTTTGAATTTTGTGTTTCTCTGTCAAATATTTCAAATTAGTTACCATGATATCTGACTTGTGTTTTGACCTCGTGCTTTGGTTTTAGTATTTACTATGTCGACAGTGTTAATCATACTTAACATAAGCCTCTTTCTGAGATTTGATTGGCCATCCCCTTTTTAAAAAAGCTTACGCTATTCTTGTATATTTCAGTACAGTGAACACATAAAATATCCGCGACAAAGAACGAACTTATGAAACCAGACTAAGGTAGATGTGTTTAATCAGTGATAGATTGTGGCAATTCTACTTTCTTGTAAAATCCTGAATTTAGAATCTAAAATCACAATAAATTCAGCTTTTACAAATTTTTTTCTTTCGTACAACGTCAATAATCCTACACTTTTCATAGATTTTAAGAACAAATTCAAATGATTAGAAAAGGTACCTTTTTATTCAGTAAAAAGGGTAGGAACTTTAGTGTTTATCTAATTAATGAATGTGATGAAATTTCCTATCTTTTCTCAAGTTTCGCCTTTTGAAGGAAATTCGAAAAGCAGATAAAAAGGTACCTTTTTTGCCGTTTTGCGAGCTGAAAAACGCAAGTACCAAAAGAATCAGTGATAGATTTTGGCAATTCTACTTTTTCGTAAAATCCTGAATTTAGAATCTAAAAATCACAATAAATTCAGCTTTTACTATTTTTTTATTTTCTTACGACGTTAATAATCCTACCCTTTTCATAGATTTTAAGAATAAATCCAAATGATTAGAAAAGGTACCTTTTTAGTTGATAAAAATGTAGAAAATTTTGTGTTTTATCTATGAGTGGATGTGATGAAATTTCCCACCTTTTTTCAAGTTTCGCCCTTTGAAGAAAATTCGAAAAGCAGATAAAAAGGTACCTTTTTTGCCGTTTTGCGAGCTGAAAAATGCAAGTACCAAAAGATACCTTTTTCTATCAAAACTAGTCACTGCAGTATTATTAATTAATTTTAATTGAAAAACCAATGCCAAATGACGCCATCATATGTTTATTTTCCCTTCGATTTCATAAGTACACCTATGTTTCTTGCTGAAAAGCCTCTAGTGACCTCTGGAAAGGATTGCTTATAGGATTGGCTTATTTGTTGGTATTAGTAGTTTGCATACAGATATATTTTAATTGTTTCAAGGTTGGCTTCTAAAACTCCATGTTTAATTTCAGCTTATACTCGTAGTTTCCTGTGCGACACCAAACGTACGGCCTTATTACAGTGTTATTAAGTTTGAATACAGTTAATTTGTCACAATTAACAGTAGTCACTTGACTTTTCAGGGGGGAAATCATAATTTTGAATTGACATGAAACATAGCCAATAGTAATATTGGTTAGAAATAAACATGTGATAGCGTCATTTGGCATTGCGTTTTCAATTATTAGAATCAATAATTGTGTAGTTAGTGACCGGTGCGTTAGCTAAAGGTACCTTTTAGTACTTGCGTTTTTCAACTCGCAAAACCGCAAAAAAGGTACCTTTTTATCTGCTTTTCGAATTTCCTTTAAAGGGCGAAACTTGGTGAGCGCTCTTTTAATTTTATGCGGCTGCTCCTATTTTAACTATCCCACACACACATCATATATAGAAAATATATATGCTGATGACGAAATTTGTCAGGTAAACGTACAAGGTATTGAGTGAAAGTTAAAAATAATAAGAACATAGAATAATGTAAAATCTAAAGAAGACGTTATTTGATGCTTTTGTAGGCAACAGCTACCCCCCTCGAGATTGTTCTTCATCTGCTAGGGGAGACGACTGCAATGCTGTCATCCTAGTTTGTGCATGGAATATAGAGAATGTCGTTATTGCAGTCATTATTGCTGCAACAGTGGCGTTTATTGTGGCACACACAAGGCTCCACTACGACAAATATGGAGGGCAAAACCACAGGAGAGAATATGAAGGTAACTAATAAATAAAGTAATGATAAAAGGGTAAATCTTACACCGTGAAAAGTTGAAAAAACTTACTGACGTTTCGGACAATAATCCTTCGTCGGAGTAAAAGCATAAACAAGGCTACCTAAAGTTAACAAGNAGATGTCATTATTGAACAATATGAAATGGACTGATTCCAAATGATTTCACTATGAATATTAATGACAAGAACGTTATTTAACTGGGGGATTCCCCTTTGTGACATACGTTGAGTCACGCCATCGTTAGCGTGGTATAAGTCTGTCTATAATTAGTTAGTAGTCCTAATTTTCGTAAAATATTTAAAGCCAATCCGAATCACATATCAAAAAAAAAAGATGAGTTTTGAAAGGTTTGAGTTTTGTCAGCCTTCCTTTGTCAAATATTTCAAACTAGTTACCATGCCTCTGACTTGGGTTAAGAGCTCTGGGGGCGATTTGTCAGTTCACTATGACGTCACACGCAGTTGTACTTACCTGCATGTGTATGGAAACGCATGCGATCTCTGAAAAGAAAAAAGCGCCGCTTTCCTTGTACATTTCAAGAGCAGATAAAGAGTAACTGTGTTTGCACTACCTTGTGTTAAACACTGCAAAATGAAGTACTTTATGATTTTACTGATTTTACTTCTCATTGCGTTGGACAATGATCAAAGACCTCCGGATCATCGTTGCCATTGGCTCACGAACTTCGCTGAAAGACCCTCTACATTTATTTGTAAAACCAAAAGTAAGTTGCTCAATTAAAGTTAAAATAGATTTCAGGAACAAATCAATGGAAAGCGAGCGCTAACCCTGTGTTTTCAGCGTTATGTAAATTTTCGTTTCATGCTTTTGCGTTCCAAAGGGAGTTAGGACAGACGGACAGGGTTATATATCGCTGTGTTTGTTTCACTTATTCGTAGATGCTAAAAATAGTTCACTGATCAGTATATGTTTGTTCCTAAATAGATACTAATTACGGCTCACTTATCTTAAAAGTAAACGTCCTTTCCAACAAACGATCATCTGGTCTGAATTAGCCTTACGTTTACCTGACAAATTTCGTCATTAGCATATATATTTCGTATTCGAATAACGCCGGCGTTGCTTGTCAGTGTCACGGATAGTGAAGCGGTAAATACTCATAGCGTACAGCTGATTAAGACCAGAAAGCGTGAATTTTCAGTTCCACGAACGCGGAACGCTTCTCATTATGGTGAGCGCTCTTCCAATTTTATGCGGCTGCTTCTATTTTAACTATCCCACACACACATCATATATAGAAAATATATATGCTGATGACGAAATTTGTCAGGTAAACGTACAAGGTATTGAGTGAAAGTTAAAAATAATAAGAACAAAGAATAATGTAAAATCTAAAGAAGACGTTATTTGATGCTTTTGTAGGCAACAGCTACCACCATCGAGATTGTTCTGTATCTGCTAGGGGAGACGACTGCACAATTGTTATCCCAGTTTGTGCATGGAATATACAGAATGTCGTTATTCCATTCATTATTGCTGCAACAGTGGCGTTTATTGTGGCACACACAAGGCTCCACTACGACAAACATGGAGGGCAAAACCGCAGGAGAGAATATGAAGGTAACTAATAAATAAAGTAATGATAAAAGGGTAAATTATAAACCGTGAAAAGTTGAAAAAACTTACTGACGTTTCGGACGCTAATCCTTCGTCGGAGTAAAAGCATAAACAAGGCTACCTAAAGTTAACAAGTCTGGATCATACTATGGTTCAACCAACAGAGAAAAAGTATCGAGGGTAATATCAATATTTAATAAATATTTAGAAAACGCATCATACGTTTTTGAACTATAAATGGATATTCTTCTACTCTATATTGCTGTCATGTATGTTTTATTATTATTACTTTTTCTTTTCTCGTTTCTTTCTTCCTTATTTCTCCACGTTATATTTTTGTAAATTTAAAACGGATATATAGACCCCCTCGATGAGTTTTTGTTCTTGGGGTTATAAAAATGAATGATAGGATTTTTCTTTTTCTTTTTCTTTTCCAGACGTGGTCAACAAGTACCCCGTCCAGTGCACCGAAGACCCATGATCTTCACTGAACGCCGCATTCCCTTCCCAAATTTCTGTTTTAATTGTTTTTGCTTATGCGCAACCGTTAAACAAAGAAATGATACTCTAGGGAATGACACGTGATCTAAATTGGAAAAAACATTGCATATAACGACGAAGAATAAGCTCAATTTGCTGAAGCNAATAAATATTTAGAAAACGCATCATACGTTTTTGAACTATAAATGGATATTCTTCTACTCTATATTGCTGCTACGTAAGTTTTATTATTATTACTTTTTCTTTTCTCGTTTCTTTCTTCCTTATTTCTCCACGTTATATTTTTGTAAATTAAAACGGATATATAGACCCCCTCGATAAGTTTTTGTTCTTGGGGTTATAAAAATGAATGATAGGATTTTTCTTTTTCTTTTCCAGATGTGATCAAGTACCCCGTCCAGTGCACCGAAGACCCATGATCTTTACTGAACACCGCGGTGTTCATAATACACTTTATTCGTCGTGGCGTGCAATATTTTTGCCATAACAGACATGTTATTCTCTTGAGAATAAAATTCTGTTTTTATTGTTTTTACTTATGCGCAAAAATAAACAAAGAAATGATACTCTAGGGAATGACACGTGATCTAAATTGGAAAAAACATTGCATATAACGACGAAGAATAAGCTCAATTTGCTGAAGCAAAAACCGTCTTGATTGAACAATTAACTATTTTGTAACCCAGTCGCACATCATGATAAGATCATGATTAAATGTGTACATTTTATAGTAATATGAGAAACATATATTATATGAAAAACGACTTCCGGGTCCAAAACGAAAAAATCAGTAGCCTGCGTCACATCCGGAACTTTCTTTGTAAATTTACGGGTGTGACGTGTGTGTCCGGATGTGACGCAGGCTAAAAAATCAGTTGTGTTAAGATTTTTCTTACTTTTTCGCCATGATAGAATTTGTTGTCCACAATTCTAATAGTTTCAGGTGAAGGTTAAATCACTGACATATTTAGCTTCTTTTTAGCAATTTTTGTKAGCATTTGGACCCGGAAATACGTCATAAATTAAAAGCTGTATACAAATTCGACAAACATTCGTGTGTAGGCTCTGTTTCTCATACAAATTCTTGTAACTTTTAAAAACCGCTGCAGCCAGTTTCAGATATTCACTGCAATTTTGCTCTGATATTGATGTAATCGAGTATGCCATATATTTCGTTATTCGGCTTGTTTTTATAATTGCGTATCCGTGGCTAATTCTTACAAAAGGTTCCAAGTGTAGGCAAATGATCAAAGTTTTAACTTGGCAACTTGACATATTAGCGACCTTTAGATACGACGACGAGTACGAGATCGAGTAGGAGTAGGAGTTTTAAAATTGGTCCTGTACGCGTGGTTAACACTAAATCGTAGTCGATTCCCGATTTTTTACGATCTAAAGTTTCAATCTACGCACACGATCACGACTACAAAAAGATAGTGCCTCTCTTTAAAAGTTAAAAACTCGTACTCGTATACTCGTTCTCGTACTCGTTGTCGGATCTAAAGGTCTCTATTAACGTTACTTGCTTCAAGCAAAGACAAGCACAACCAATGTTCGCACCCGAAACGCAAACAGTCTTTACCCAGAGCTCCTCGGTCTAGTTCCTATATAGACCGAGGAGCTCTGGGCATGAGACTGAAACGCAAATGTAAGCAAAATAAGTTACGCATGCGCAGTAGAATAAACGAGAATGGAATTTCTCAATCTGAGTATGATTTTAATATGGTTCATTAGAATGTAAGAGATTGGCCTTCGATGAAGGCACAACTGAACAATCAAATCAAATTAACTACTTTGCTACTTGTCAAGAATGCTAGATAGTGCTCCGCGGCTTTTCATGGCAAAACTGGTAAAGGCCAGTCAGTTGCTGGTCATGACCAGCCAAATAACAGTTTTAGCTCTGTAATGCCTCGATCCTGGCTCAACAATAATGATGTTCAAAACAAGATTACTAGCAAGGCAACGACTTCACAGGATGAGTATAAAGTTTGGCTGGAAATATTGTTTAATGACAGGCGGTTTTTTAGCCCCTCTGTTTTTTAATTTTGTCTAGAAGATTAACGTACTTGTTATTTAAAGGTTTAAAACTGATATGAAATAAAATAGTATAACGCTGCAAAAACTGGTSTCCTTTTTCTGCTACCGAACAAAGTTATCATTATGAATGAACTACCATCATCGTCATCACCACCTTCGTCATCATCACCTTCATCACCCTCATCATCAACACTATCGTCATCTTCATCTTCATCGTCATCATCACCATAATCATCATCGTCGTCATCATCATTGTCATCGTGTTATTGGCAGCTACAAGGGGAAGCAAGATAGGACTAAATAATAACTGTTTTATTATAACATTTTATTCACAAATTATCTGATGAAACAGGTTAACGGGCAATAAAATAGACCGAGCCTACAAGAACTAAACATAGACATTCGCTCTCAAGGTTTTGCTGAGCATTTAAATCATACGAGTAGCTAGCTTGCCTGGCTTTTGATATTTAAACCGAAAGACCTGTTCAAGTCTGATTATTTGCTGAATGTAAGATAAATTTAAGTCTGACACTGAAATGGTATCCAACCATGCAGTGAACTGGTTTTCTATAGACTCGTTACAGGATATTCCCAATGCAGCCCAATTCAAAGGACGAAAATACATAACCTTACTCTCATGAGAACTAAAAATCATTGTTTTGTCCTCTGAGTTGAACGGCTCTGAGAATTGCTGAAACCGGTCTCTAGTAAGGCCAGCACTGAACTGGCTTCCGACATATTATTGGCTTCTACTAATTCTAATAAGTATTTCAATTTTCAAGCAACAAAGTATTTACATTGTATGGTATGTCCAGTATTTGGTATCTTTAGTTTTGTACAACTGAAGTCAATCAAAGTGAGTTTATTTTTTCTTTTTTGAAGTCATCTGGTTGGTAGCTGTAGTTGTCACGGCTTGGACTCCACGTTGTAGAATAACATTGTAGAGAGGTATGAAAGTCTGCAAGGCAAGGAAAAAGTAGGAATTAACTTGGAGCGAAGATAAATAACGATCAAACTAGCAGGCTCCTTTCGGGGCCATTTTTGTGAAGTTAGCCAATCACGACGTTTGAAAACTTGAGCCAATCAGAAGAGAGAGCAGAAACAGAAACATATTTGGCCTCAGCCAATCAGCATTGGCAACAACATGAAATGTGCATATTTACCTCGTCCCAGATCAATTCRGCCAGATGATCTAGTCTCGCCGCAATCTCCCTAAACTCTCCAGTGAAGCGAATATAGAACCAGACGAGCATCATAATGACKCCCAWCMATACMRTCAKGTTACACATGCGTGTGAACGACGACAAACCAATCGAATTGAAAAAGCTTGAAAACAAATAGCTGATAATGATGACAGTAATAAGGATGGCTGGTGTACGTCCCGCATTGAAGATATTCTTGCTGTCGTTCTGTTTTACAAAGTTTTCATAAATTTCTTCAATTTCTCGYTCAAGTCGTGCGGCGTACTCTTGGCAGAAGGATTCACCGCCCATCTTGCGCGTCTTATGGAAGAGCTCTAGGGCCGAAATGCGTAGAAGGTTGTGCCTGTTTTCCAGTTCATTTGGTGCCATGTAAGGCATGTCACCTCCACATATCTAAAGGAAAGATAATGTACTAATGTAGGAGCTTTATAATGAGAGTTATCATACATTACTATTAATTTTTTTTCGATAAGAATTCATAAAATTGATTATTCTCCTCTTTGAATATAAAACTGGCTTCTCGATTTTACTGAATTTGCGTTTTTCATGTTTGTCGCCCGTCAAGTTGGATGCGCACGCAACCTTGAGAGAACGGTCTATAAATGAATGAATGGATGAATGAATGGAAGATTGGATGAATGGATGGATGAATGAATGGAAGATTGGATATATGGATAGATGGATGGATGAATGGATTAATGGATTATTGGATATATGGATGGATGAGACAGAGTGAATGACCGAACGGTCAAACAATTAAATATTTGCACATAAATGAAAAACTAAACGATATTGAATAATAATAAGCAAATATAAATAAAGAAAACTTGAAAAATATGAATGAATATCATATATAAAATATGTAAATTAACAAATGGGAAAAATTTCAAAAATGCTCTGCTCTTTCTAGTTTTGCACCACAAGTTAACAAGTTAAGCATTCATAACTTTCAATTCGATCCCAAAAAGTAGCCTTGTTTTAACTCCAAGTTCCAAAAGAAAAAAAGAAAGAAAGAAAAAACTCCAAGTTCCAACCCTCAAATTACTTACTGTTTCCATCTCTTTGTTGTAGGCATCCTTGGATGCGGCTAGAGCTGCCAGATTGTTAGCCTCTGCTGTGGCCTAGTTCAAACAAACAAGGAAGCCAACTTAGACAAGTTTGAACTTACTGTCATTTTCATTTTTATAACCAGACTCTGTAGTTGAATTTGGAAGTTGGAAATTGGTTTGTATCTGCTGCCAGTCCAAAAATGTTAAAGGCACCAACTGGCTATTTTTGATTGACAGAGGCGAAAAAAACAATTGCCATGTGCAGGATGATTAACTGCAAATTTTGCATAATATTCATGTCACACTCAGACTATAGCRAACCAATCACTGTTGCAGCAGTTTTCCCAATGGAATTAAAATCTAGTCCCACAAACAACTACAAAGTATTTGTTTTAAGAGTACTGCGAGGATACAAGGCAATTTTCTATTCTTTTCACAGCACAGTAAACTATGAAACAATAATTATTTATAATCTATTTTCTGAGATCAGAGTTTTAAATTCTGAGATATTTTAGATAATTTGTTTAGCTTGTGGGACATAGCAACGGTAACTAAGGGGAGTCTGAACYATGAATTGAAAACTGCTATGAGAAAAAGATACCATTTACAACTTATCACTAAATCCTGTTACTAAGTGTTGAGAGAGTCTGGATGTTACTCAARAAGTTGTGTGCTGAAAGCCCCTCAGGAATTTAGATTTTTTGTTCAAGGACAAAATGATGTCAAAGACACATTTAAATCAAATATATCTCACCAGTAACATYGACTTTGGCTGAGGCAGTTCATCACCTTGAAATATCTTCATGTAAGCCTGCAAAAATAGTTATACTTTAAGGTTGAGCTTATCTGAAATATATTCATTTATTTAACATCACAGACAAATTGTACCTTGAGTATTTATAACAAATTAACATATTTGCAGACGCACGCTATTTACAATAACYATATATAGGCTAACCTAGGTAAATAGCTAAAATGAAAAGAAAATCGATGGTAATTGGAAAGAGATTGWCTGAATCTTTTCTTTGGGGGAAGAAGGGTGCACCCCTCTCTCTGTTAATTCTCTGTTTAAGGGTATTTCAAGGTAAAGCTAGATGGATATTAGGGTTTTGTACCTTGAAGTATTCCATCAGTCCTCTACAAGTCACTTCTTCRCCATTAATACCTTTTAATACAAGGTTTTCAGGTGCCAAGAGTGAAGGAATCAACTCTTTTAGTTGCTTTTTGAACTCATMATCAATATCTGAAAGGAAGAAAACAATGATGAAGACTTAGAAGTCAGAATAAATTAAATATTGGACAAATAGATAGATGGATAAGTGGGCATTAGTCTGTGGGTAGTAGTGTTGATATGGATGGATGGATGGATGGATGGAGGGAGGGAGGGAGGGAGGGAGGGTTGGATGGATGGATGGATGATTTAATAAATTCAGACATTCATAATGTATTATCTAGAATACACACATCAACTGTTTTACCTATAATGTGACTATGTTAAACAATGATATTTCCTTACCTTCTAACCGACCATCAAAAGTAGGGTTTGTAGCAACTCTAAGTCCAGGATGCGGCATCAGATAGCACCCAATCTTATCAAAGCACTCCCTCACATGTCTTCGTACTTGCTGCAGTTCTGGGTGCTGTTTCTCTGATAACTTTAGTCTGCGTTCAAGGATAGCTTCACCTCCTTTTTGGCCATAGTCARCTTCATAAGGAAAGCTCCAATCTCTGACTAAGAACAGCAGACTCTGGGAATTGAATAACGTTTCTAAATTGAGACAATACTCCTTTGTTTAATGAGACATTATCTTTCTTTRCGATACAGTGTAAAAATGTAAAAAATCATATTCAACTAAGCCAGGGGATAAGCTGAAAAGTATAATTTAGTACTATTTCACATCCCCATCCCACTAGGAAAAGGAAAAGGAAGAAATAAAATAAAAGTAATTATAAAAGGAAAATGAAGGGAAGAGATTGGAAGAAATTGAAAGGAAAGAAATGACAGTAAAAACAGGACAGATATTTTGAACTAAAATTTGAGAGATATTTTGGAATGGTTGTTGGTATATGGCAAAAAACTTGGCCATAAAGTCTGAGAATAGATTATTACTATTATTATATTATCATATATTATTATAGATTATTACTGCTATAATTATACAGCTTCTCATTGATCCCATATAGGTAACTGTCCAATTATTTTTCTTAATCATATCCTTTTTGTAATCACTACCAAATCTTGCAATCTGATTGGTTCAAAGGAGTGTGATTAATTCCCAAATTGCATCCTTAGGAGCTCTTAATCGCATCCTTTTGAGCTCTTAATCGCATCTTTTTGAAAGAGCCAATCACAGAACAGAATTCTTATGTTCAGCCAATCAGAGAAGAGAATGATTAGCATTATTTATGAATATTTAATGATTTGCTGATAAATCGTTTATTTTATACCATGAAAAACCTGATTGATTTACTTCTTCTACTACATTAAATTGATTATTCTGCATTCTTTATTGTGTCTTTTTCTTGCGTATGATTACGAAAAGGATATGATTAAGTGGTAATTGAACTGAGTGGAGTGCAATTTTGGACCAAAATCATACTTGTGATTAACAAATTGCACTCCCGCTACGCGGTTGTGCAATTTTGTAATCACTCGTATGATTTTGGTCCAAATTGCACTCCACTCAGTTCAATTACCATCATTAATTGGACAGGTCTTGTTGATATGGGATTAATTAGTCAGCTATATAATTAATAGGTAATGGGATTTCATGCTCCCCAATCAAGAAATAATTAGACTTGAAAAATTCCTCTGACTACCAAATTGGACTCGGCCTACGGCCTCATCCAATTTTGTCAGTCCTTGGAATTTTCCTCGTCCAATTATTTCTTAATTGGACAGCATGGAGTCCTATTACATWTACTTATTGTCGAAGTGCAAACCGTGATGTTTGATGTCTCATATACCAACTCACATATTTCAGACTCATATATTTCAAAGACCATCAATCAAAGGACTGCAATAAAAAATATATTTTGAAGGAGATTTTGGACTGAATTAAAGATTTTAGAGAATAAGGTATTTAAGATAACTAATTTAGTCTAAAATCTCCCTAAAGATATTGTTTTTTTTTAACAGCAATTCTATGATTGGCCATCAATGAAATGCTAGTTGGTTAACCAGACAGCAAACTTTGCTCGTCACTTCAACAATCATGATAGTAATATGATATTCACCTGGAAAGGCTTTACATCATTGCTCTCCATGGCCAATTTACCATATTCTGTAAACAACTAAAATCACAAGAAAAATATATCCTTAGTACACAAAGGAAAACATAAAATCTGGGGGGGGGG